GACGATGCCAAGACCAAGCAATAATAGTTGATAATGCAACATAATACTTTTTCAAGAAAATTCAGCTTGAATATTACATTAGTTTTCTTCTTTATTTTCTCGAAACTTAAATTGAAGTTTCACGCGTTTATTCTTTCCCCAAAGTGAACATTATTTGCTATTGAAACTGTTTTGCATAACTTACCAGGCAGCTTATCGGGCAGTTAAGTGTTTGAGCAAATACAAAAACAGCGTTGCCACCTGGCATCACAATTACTTAAACTGTGTTGCCACCGTCTCGTTTGTTGCGGTGTTGCCAACTTAAGCTTGTAAAACAATGAGGAGCTCGTGTTTATTGTTCTACCAGTATTTGTTTTATCTAAACCCTGAAATGGAAAAATGCGTTTTGATAACAGAAGACAGCTCTTCAGGAGACAACTCTAACCCCCTCAGCTGCTTAAGTTGTGGAACACAATGACGAGCTGAATTAATGCCTGTATGTGTGTAAGCTCATCAATCAAACTACAAAAACTAAAGACTTGAAAATAACAATATATATTCTATATTTGATGGATACGTTGAATTTTAATCAGTTAATCATTAATGTCACTCGTGTGGCAACACTTGTATCGATAAGTAGAACTAGATTCTTTAGAACCAGCTCGATATGTAGAACCTCACACATGTACATATACATAAAGGATCTCAACCTCTTTCTTAATAAAAGTTTCAATATATATTCTATATATATACATGTTTCTATATTACACACACAGCGAGCTTATCACTTTGTCGTTATTTCCTTCCATTTGCATAATATCGATAAATATCGATTTTGAGAAACGGCGATTATAAGAGCTACCATACATATAAACCAAAAACTTGGTCTTTCAATTGTTTTGTGTTAACAAATATTTGCCTAAAATCAAAGCTGGAGCCAAGCGCCTTTTGTATTTACACAGTTTATCAAATAAATATCGGTCTATAAGTGCTGATGCTCTTCTGGAACACATGCGCCATGGTGAGGAGCAAACCGAAGAAGCACAGTCGCAGCGTATGTGTGCGTGTGTGTGTGTAAGGAGGGTATCTCCTAGTCGTACAGTGCCGTCTAGAGCATACTCTTACTTGTTATTTGCATTAGTTTTTGGCTGCACTCGAGCGACGCAATCGATAAAATTCAACATTCATTCAACATTCATTGCGTATCTGTTTACACACATCATAAATATTAAATGGCTGACAAGCAAAAAAAAAAAACCAAAAAAAAACAAAGTAACCCACACACACACACACATGCAGAGCGAGAGTGAAAATAACACATAACAAGACAGAAAAAAAAAAAAAAATAAAATAAAACAAGCTAAGTGCGAAAGAAACAGAAGAGCACCAAAAAAAAAAAAACGGGACGGAGCGAGCAGGCAGCAGTTGGCTTGATTAATTTATAACACTAATAAAGAATTTATGTGCAAGTGTCAACCTGCACTGCGGCCTGCCCTAACCCGCCCTAAGTCCCCCTCTGCTCTCTCCCTTCCAGCCAGACGGAATCTATGCATTCAGATGTGAGGTCAAGAAACATACAGGAAATAACAAACTCGCTTTTGGGCCAAGCCACGTTTCTGGGCCACTCGGCGGTGCGGTAGCTCGGTGGTGCGGGTCTGGGCGATAATTTGATGAATGACTGCGCATATTAATTCATAAATTAATTTGTTTTCATGCGACGCCTGTTTCGGCCTGCATTGGCCGGCGTTTTAGTTAAAGGTTTTGCTTTGCTAATTTCCCAGCGTACACAAAACAAAATAACAACAAAAACTGTTGCCTACTTTTCAGGGCGAGACCACAAATTAATCATTTGCCACTTTTGTGGCGGGACCGAGACACCGCGCAATTGTTTTACTTGGTGAAATACATTTCAAATAGATTTCACTTAAGTTGGTTCAATTAGCTTAAAATATGCCTGTCAGCTTAATTTATTGTAATTATTGAGCACGATTTAATAGAAATAAATAAATATATATCTGATGTCGTTGTCTTTCTAGTATTCAACTAGCTCTGCAATTGCTACCTTGATCTGCTCATCTACAGCGAAAGCATTTCACTTTATCAACTTTATTTTATATACGATTCTACTGCCCGCGCAGATCGAGTTTGTTTCCGACATTCGATAACTTGCCCCGTTTCCAAGTAATCGATAAAAATCGATTTCGGTAAATAATAAGAGCTAGAGTCACCAAACTTGACATGTAGCTTTTAGAATAGTATATATATACTTATCAAGTATCTTTCATTTTGTACCTATCGCCTGTTGGTAGAAAAGAGTTCAGGGTATCCCCTAGTCGGGAGCCCCCGACTAGAACCTCTAACTTGTTTCTGGCTGCAGTCCCGAATGATATTTAACGTTTAAACATCTTAAAACATCCAAAGCGCAATTTGTCGACCTATTCCTTTTGAAGAGTTAGGTGATATAGTAGTCCGATGTTGATGAGACTTTGCTTACAGTCAAGGCTCGTAAATGTTAGCTTATTTTCGATTGATTGTTCTTCAGACAGCTTTATGTTATAGTGCACCGATCCGATCTGCAAAATTGAGTTTGACTATTTTAAATGGAAACAAACAGAGGGACCTAACCACATCGACAGATATAGCTTATTATATATGCTTTATATGCTTTATAGGATCAAAAATCTCTTCTGCTCTGCTTGACACATCTACAACTCATCTGATTGCCTGGCAAGAGGCCTGACCAGGTGCTTATAATCTGGCAACACGGTTAGTCTTGGTTTTTTGGCTGGCTCGAGAAGATTCGTGATGGGTTAAGGGTTAAGATCCGCCGCCAAGCCCAGCTAAAAGATACGGACGTTTAACTGAAGCCTGCAAATGGAACCGTGAGATTGAAACTTCCTGCCGGCTTATCATACACGAGAACTAACTATTTGTACTCATATGCTGAGCATGGGGTGGGGGGTGGGTATGAGACGCTTCTGTGCGGGAATCAGTATTTATTATGGTCGTGTCCTGTGCCAGGGTCCTGTGTTTGGGTCGCTGCCAACATCTGGCAGGGAAATATTATGGCCATTAGCTGGCCTGTGTTTTGTCCAAATGGGGCAAGCAGGGCAAACAAACAGTTGCCACGCCCCAACTGTAAAGGGCACAACGGACAATGGCTAAGGATACGCTGCACTTGTCGAAAGGATAACGCGGCGCAAGGTGCATTAAAAATGCGCAACATTTTGATTTCTTGAATGGCCGCCGCACGGCTATTGCGGTCGCCCCGCCGTTGCCGGTGAGCCGTAGCCGTAGTCGAGACGGGCCGAGGTCCTTGCTGGCCGTTTTAATAGCCGTTTTGCTGGTATTACTCCTTTCGCTGACGGCAACTTTCGCCCACCAAATGAGCGACTGCCATGTGCCTGATGTCCTGTCTGTCCTGTCTGTCCTGCGTGTCCTGTGTGTCCTGTGTGTCCTGCTGCCATCGCCGTCGCCGTCGCATTTTCAAGTTTTGTGCGCATCTAAATAATTGATTAACTGTAAAATTCGTGCGCGTTACACACACACACACACACACACACACACACATGCACACATGCACATTGGAATTCAGTTGCCAGCATATAAAATCGATATGACGGGAAGGCATAAGGAGCACAACGGCGACATCGGAGCCTTGCCGGCAACGAAACAAGCGCCAAGATATTTTTGTAAATTATTTATTTTGTAACCGTAGTGGGCGTGGATCCGGCGGCCACTGACAAATCAATATCAAGCACAAGATGTGCAAATGATGCGACAGCTTCAGAAATTTTGTCATCTTTAAGGCGCATTCCTCACAATTTGTTTTCAATCTTTAAGTGAGAATCAGTTCGTGCTGCCGAATGTGCATATTATTGAAGTCTGGCAACACTGCAATCCGAGTTTTCATGTTATACTTACCATCTAGTCGAACCACACGGTAAATTATGATAATATTACGTAAAGGATGTGCAAATGCCTAACAAAATGTTGTCTTTGATTGGATTTGCATGGCAATACTTTACCATGCAGTTAGACCGCATGGCAACATCAAGCAAAAGATGTGCAAATGATGCGACATCTTCGAAAATGTTGTATTCGGCTTTAAGGAGCATATCACACAATTTGTTTTCAATCTTTAAGTGAGAATCAGTTCGTGCTGCCGAATGTGCATATTATTGAAGTCTGGCAACACTGCAATCCAAATTTTCATGTCATACTTACCATCTAGTCAAACCACACGGTAAATTATGATAATATTACGTAAAGGATGTGCAAATGCCGAACAAAATGTTGTCTTTGACTTAAACAAGCATATCTTTGGCAACATTGTGATTGGAATTTGCATGGCAAATACTTACCATGCAGTTAGACCACATGGCAATATTAAGCACAGAACATGCGACAGCTTCAGAAATGTTGTCTTCTCACAATTTGTTGTCAATCTTTAAGAGAGAATCATTTCGTGCTGCCACATGTGTATATATTGTTGAAGTCTGGCAACGTTGCGATCCGAAAGCTCATGGCATATATTTATATAACATCTAGTTAAACCACATGGCAAGCAACAAACAAAAGTTGAATGGAAGATTCGTAAAGTTTTTTTTTTATTTAACAACATAGAAAATTGAAAGCCTTTGAATATACATTTTTTATGGTAAGAATATATAATTTGATATAATTTATCTTTTTGAAAATAGAATGATCACTCAACATCAACAACTGATAAACTAACAGGCAAATGTATAAAGTTCAATTTATAAATATATCTAGTTGGGTTCAACGACTCCGTATGAATGAGCTCGACGTCCTGCTGATGCTACATAGCATTGAGAATGTCCACTATATCCTTTTCTGTCATTTGATTCATCACATCAAATGATTGGACTGTATATACTCGCCCATACACACTCACATGCATATGAATCAAATTGATATTCGAATTTGATGTTATCCCCCCTTCCCCCTTTAAAAACTCGTACATACATATACTATCCTTGTTTGTCTCGTCTTTTCAGAGTCGTTTATTAGAAGATGCTTCCCTCTTATGCAATTCGTGGTCAGCACGTCAGAATGTAAGTTAAACCACAGTCAAACACACACACGCACATACACACACACACACATGAATACAGCAAAAAGTTTGACTTGATTTTCTTGTTCTATTTAAAAAACAAAAACCTTTATCAACTTACTTTAACAACATTCGATTCATTTCCTATACGATATACGCTGACTTAGGTCTCCAACATATACTATATATATATACTATAGTTTAACTGATCTTTTCAAGATATATGTATTACCTAGTTATGCCAAAATTTTTGATGTGGGCTCTATCTTTGTCATATTTGTTTTCCTTCGTATGCTTTTGATCCAGTTCCTGTTCAAATATATATATTTTGTGAAGTATTTTCTTATCGATATTGCGCCTAATTGCCAATCTGCTCCACTTTGTTTTTTTCGTTCGATACAGGGTGATATTTTTGCGGGTATCAACGACGGCATACTCAGCAGAGCGGAAGCCCTCGCCGCCGTCGACATACAGAAGCATCAAGCCCAGCATGTACATAGCCAAATGCCCTCCCAAATCAAGCACGATGTGATGTACCATCATCATTCAATGAGTGGCCCCCCGCAACGTCCATTACAGGTAAGTTTTGCACACAACTTACACAGTTTGGTCGAAAAATTGAGAAAGAAATTTCCAAAACCCCAAGTTTGGTGTCTCTAGCTCTTATTATTCTCGAGTTTTGCTTTAAGAACCATGTCCCAAAATCGATATTAATCGATATTTTGGAATTGAGAGGAGATATCGACAACAGCAAAATGATAAACTCTATCAAATGCGAAGTCTCTCGACGAGATCGAAGCATTCATTCAGACGCACAGACAAATAGATGGCTCGTTCTCATCCTGATCAAGAACATATATGTATGTTATATATAAAACTTATATCTTAGATATGTCTCTCCGCCCATTACATACAGTTGAACAAAACCAATTAACGCTTTTTACCCAATTTTCATGGGTATTCGAAATATTTTCAATACAATATATGTATAGTATATATATAGTATATATATATCTATATATAGTAAATACCTCTTGAGGGCAGCAAATAGGCAACTTCTTATATGGAATATTTCTAGACGTCAGCAAATTGTACGTTTTGAGCGGGAATCGCACCAAAGAAATGTTTCAACGAATTGTTCTGAATTCAACGTAAATGTCAAATGGTTGCTTGCATTCTGGCCTTGTAATTGGGCACCTTGTGGGTGGGTGTGCGTGTGCGTGTGTGTGTGTGTGTGTGTGTGTGTGTGTGTGTGTGTGTGTGTGTGTGTGCGTGTGTGAGTGTGTATGACGGATATGGGATATTATCCGTTTAGCTGTGTAGCATTTTATGACAGTCATTTTGATTACAACAAATAGCAACAACAATGACAACGGCGACAACTTCAATTTCCGCTTTTCGCGGTCACATGCGTGTTCTCTATGCGTATGCGTGTGTGTGTGTGTGTGTGGTTAATTTGAAATGTTTCTTTAATAAAATTAAAATTGTGACGTGTAAGCCTTCTGGGAACGGGCCACGTGACGGTCGTTTGCCAGGTAAGCACATCATGATTCGTGTCGTTAATTGTATTGCGCTACCGCGCTACTTCAGCTCTAGGCGGCCGTACCGCACGGTCCTCGGCCAAAAATACCAACAAAAAAACGGGCGTTGCAGAGTCCTGTACTCAAATTTGATCTGGAGCAGGGGTAGCAGCAGCACAAGTGGCAGTCCTCTGTGCAGTGTGACATGTGGGCACCCGCTGCTCCGGTACGGCTGGTGGTTGGAACTCTATTAGAAGTTGATTGTAATCAAATTACACAAGCAACCTGTTTCTATATCTCTACCTAGTTGTTGGCCAGTAGTTATATTTTCCACTTCTAGTTGTTGTTCTTGTTGTTGTAATGCCACTTGTTTTCGGCACAATCGAGCATGACGAAAGTGCGCGCTGTCCACGCGCCGTCGCCGCCGGTGGTTGTTGTGGTTCCCATTCCCATTCTCATTCTCATTCCCATATCCATGCCCATACCATTTCTTGGCGCACGCTCGTGTGGGCTTTAATTTTCAGCAAAACACTCGCAACACACACACACACACTTGAGTCTGAGAATTTTACCCTATTCGTTTCGGGTTACCGCCCTGGGTCTCAGGTGCAACAACCTTCCACTCTGTCCTGGGACCTGAGCATCCCAATGCAATAGCAATAAAATTCACTCACCCCTACCCTGGCCAACAACGGAAGTTCATTACTTTCTGAACATATTGAAATCCTGTGCGCTTCAGTTAGAAGTTGGCTATAGCTCTTCTCTTGCAATTGGCAAGAGCTCCATGGAGAAACTCAAAGGTTCACCATCTGACATGACAAATTGTCATGCTATATGGTCATGGAAAGAGGCCTGTAGATATTCTGCTTGTACCCTGTACACAAAGTGAAAAAGAGTTTATTTTTTTGGTTAGAGTATTGTATTGTATCTGCGTGCAGTTGAGGTGAGGTCAACTGCTCCATAGCTGGAAAGTTCAGTGGCAGAAAGTTGAGATACTTTTCTGAGATACTTTAGGGATCTCAAGTGGTTATAGGTGCAGGCCCAGCTAATCCAGAGACGATGAGAAGTTGCAGAGCTGATAGAACTAGAAGGTTCTTGAAATATATATACAGACAACCTAGTCACTTTTCTTGTGTTTTTACCTTCCTTGTTGTGAGCTAGAGGTGGGGTCACTCAAGATATATTAACTGTTCCTACTTCCTGATAACACATTAAAACATATATATAGCTCTTATAGTTGGCTGTTCCGGAAGGTAAATAACATTGTCTCAAGTACAGCCTTGTACTTGAAGTACTTGAAGACAAAGAAAACTTTTGAATAGCTCCATAAAATGTTGGCAGTTAGTTTTGCCATATTGGCATTTGGTTAAATGTATTTCGAGGAGGCAACAAAACTGGTTTGGCTGGCTTGATTAGACGGACCTGCTGTTGGCCTGTTGGACTATTTAGCCGGTTTGGTTCCCAGGACCCGACGCCAGGTGCTCCACATTCAAGGACAACCTGGTGGGAGCACCGCCAGCAGTTGCGCAGCAGTTGAAAGTTGATCAAATTTATTGTTTTCGGTCATACCTGACGTGGTGTCCCACGTCAAATATTTAGGCTTTGGCAGTTCGACAACTTTGACAATTTGTGCAAATTTTGTGTGTTTCGTGATGATGGTGGCGTTTGATGGTGCTCTTTGCTCTACCTCAATAGTCGGTGACTAGTGTGTGTGTGCGTGTGTGTGTGTGTTGGTCAGTGAGAATGACCTAGCCGGTTGCAGGTGTCCTCAGCGTGGGGTAGACGACAGCCGGCGTCCCTTCGGATTCTGTCCCTTGCAGTTGCAATTGCAATTGCAGCAGCGATATTCCTCGCCGATATTGTATTGGGCATCGTATAGAGCATTGGCAGCCGCATCGACGGCATCCTCAAATTGCATATCCTGCATATCCTGCTGTCCGTACAGCGTCTCCTTTTGGCCATAATAGAAATCTGCGTATTGTAAACGCCGACGCTCAAAGTTTGCCAAATATCGACGCCATTGGCGCTCAAAGTGGGCAAATGAGAAATCCTCCTCCTCCGCCACTTCCTCCGCCTCCTCCTTCTCCTCCTCCTCCTTCTCCTCCTCCTCCTTCTCCTCCTCCTCCTCCTCCTCGCCGCCGCCGCCCATCTGCTCGTCCATGGTCGAGTTTGGCCTGTGATTTGATGCCATTTCTCGAGTCAAGTTGGATGTTGGAAATAACCAAATACTTTGTAGATCTCTAACACATGTTATGAATAAGCTGAGAATGCTTTTAAATAACTGAACGCACATTTCCCCAGTTGCTTTGACCCCTACCCCCCCCCCCCTCTTCCACGTCTCACCCCATCACAACACAGCCTTGACATCGAACTCTTTGCAGTCTAGATTTCTAAGGAATTTGCAACTTATCCCAGCTGAATGTCAGTCCACATTTCGTACTTCCCGACGACTGCCTCTGAGTGCAATAGTTCCACAGGAATTCATAAGAATTCATTATAATTCCTGATAATTCCTAATAAAAACTTTCACTTTAGTCACAAGTTTTTTTGTATTCAACTATATTAGATTTTTCTTTTTGAAACATTTCTCAACAAGGGTTTATAAATTAGTTATAAGTCCCTTGATTTGACACAGAAGAATATGAACTTGCTCGCTTCGCGGTCGCTTGTAATTCTCAACAAGTTCGATCGAGTAAGCCCGTTGCAATCCTAGAGTTAAAAGCAAACTCTGCTGATGCCAGAATTTTATTACATCTTAAGTTAATAGAGACTACGTTTTATTCAAACAAATAAATTGGTGTTAACTATTCTTAATACACAAGATTAACAACATTAACTGCCAGCTGGAGAGCATGCACATATCATAGCTGGTTCCATTTCCAATTCATTCCATCCTTAAGACATTCTTTTAACATTAACTTGTGTTCTATTGCCGACTTGTTCTACGCTCATCGCAAATTATATTCATTACTTAAGTTCTTCAACCCAGAAAAGCTGCCAGCTCATTTCAATTTCAATTCATTCCACTTTCATTCATTCCCCTATCTTCTTGTTATATGTCTCATCTTGTTTCGATTTCCAATCGACCTTCTACATTACCCGAATATGCCAAATTGTTTCAATTCCAATTCATTCCACTCTACTTCCTTGCATGCTCTTTTATTACATTTCATACTGTTTCCTTTCCAAAACGTTCCACTTTTCATTTAGCAACTTGACAACATGCTTTACGTTTTCTTTCCAACTCGTTTCGCTTGTTATAATCATTGTTCTACTTCTTCGATTCACCAGTTTTCCGTTGAATTCACGTTTGGAATCCCAACCGGTTTCATTTTCCAACCGTTCCACTCTGAGTTTCATTCCATTGCCGCAATTCAGCTTCAGAGCTCTCGACAAAATCGGTTTTGATAAAGTTCTGATGGACCCCGCTGCCTTTTACCTTTTTCCGGGCAGCAACCCCTGCCGCACATCTTTTTTCCCGAACCCCCCTTCCCCCCCTACCCCTTGGTAAATGTAAGTTTAAAATTTTCCACTTGATTTGATGGCTGCTGTCTATCAATTCGTGTAACATGTGTCATAAGCGTTATGCGAGTGCCATAAAATTGCCCCCCCCCCCCCCTCCAGTAAGAAAACATAACAAAAACTCATTAAATTAAAGTAATTTACGGTAGAGCAACACCCAACCTCCCCTTCGCCCCCTTCGCCCCTTTTGCCCCTGCTCACCGCAACACCCCTGGCCGCAAAATGTGCAAGTTTTTGCGAGCATATGAAAAGCCAATTATGAGCGCTACCAAAAAGGGTAAATATATTATATGAGAGCCAAATATAATGCTAATTAAAATAATCATATCCATCATAAAATTCAATGAGGGCAGGGGGCATGCTGCGACCAGGGCCAGGGTTGGGCTGACAGGTTGCCAGCATTTGTAACAATTACAAATGAGAGCAACAACAACAACAACAACAACAATAAATATTATCAATTTCCCGGAGCAGCAGCCGCTGCCTACGCGAGGGGGATGGACGGGCGGGCGGATGGACGGGCGGGCGGGCGGTGAGATGGACAAGTAGCTGGCCACTTTGCAGGCATTTATCACAGATTTTGCACCAGCTACCAAAACAGGAACAACAACAACAACAACAACCATGGCAAAGTTTTAGCCACCGGGTGGTTTTACATAGAGCTCATCCCTTCATAGCATGCTAGCCGTGAGCAAAAAAAGAAAAAACAAGCCTGAGTGTATGCTCGACTTGGAGATACCCTCATTACAGACATTTTAGTTTTACATTTTATTTGTTTTCAATAAGTAAATTTAGTTGGCTATAATTAGAATGAACACGAATAGAAAATTTCCAGTGAAACGTGCTATTAATTTTACTTATTACACCCTGAACCCATTGAAAATGGGTAAAAAGGGTATTATGTATTTGTGCAAATGTATGTAACAGGCAGAACAGGAAGCATCTCCGACCCCATAAAGTATATATATTCTTGATCAGCATTAATAGCCGAGTCGATGTAGCCATGTCCGTCCGTCCATCTGTCCGTCCGTATTTATGAACGCCAGGATCTCAGAACCTATAAGAACTAGAGACTTAAAATTTTAGCTGTAGGTCCTCCTAGTGCCCGCGCAGATCGAGTTTGTTTCCGACATTCGATAACTTGCCCCGTTTCCAAGTAATCGATAAAAATCGATAATCGTAATCCCGTTTTTGAGCAATTTCCTCTTACTTGATTTTTTTATGTTAGGTTCAAGTTGTACTTATTTAATTTATCTATCTGGTAGATCGAGAATATGCACTCATCTCAGTCTTCTTACTGCTAGACTATTATCTGTTAGATTTTAAGGCTAGCTTATTTTGGTGGTTGTAAAGTCTATCAATTTTGTACTAATTGTGCTTTGTTTCTTCGTTTACATATGGCATTTTTAGATTTTGGGGAAGGCTAGCTTTATTAACTTCGATGTTTATAGTGTGATATTTGTGAAATTTTCAGAGCTTCAATATGGCAAACAGAAGCGAAAGGTTCTGTCTTGGAAGCCGATGGTATTTCGAAATTCGGAGGCAATGGGATGAAGGCATCCAAAAAGTGAACTATTTGTAAGACGTACTCATATGCCATATGAGAACCCCCTCTCTCTCTCTCTCTCTCTCTCGCTCTCTCTCTGACTGCTCAAAATCGATATTTATCGATATCATTAAAATGGGTGAAGATATCGAACAAAAATTGAGCAGCATCCAAAGCGGCATGGTATAGGACTATATGCAGGCTAGATTTAATCGGGATCAAGAATACATATGTATAGACAGGTTGTGGTTACACATAAACATTATACCCCTTCCACGCATTTTCAATGGGCATAGGGTATATATAAAGTATATATAAAGAAAAAACAACAGCACACTTAATTCAATTTAAATTACACTTTCATATTTCCGGCCGCACCAGCAGTCCGCGGACGAACTGGGCCCCGGCATATCCATTAGTATTCGCAACATATGGCTCAATTTCCCTCAAATCATTTCTTCCACAACACAACACAACACACGCACGCCCATGTCCCCGCAACGGGGTGCAGCACAGCCCAAGCCCGCCTTGCCCGCCTTGCCCGCCTTGCCCCTTACCCCGGCACCAGACACCTGCTCATTGCCTGAAGCCGGCAACCACAAGTGGTTTATCATATTGAAATTCATTTAGTGCACCTGTTTGATTTTTTTCTCTCTCTGTTTTCCTTGTGTATTCGGTTATTTTTTGTTTTGTCATATCGTGACCAAGAAGCGGGCATATTATTTGGTAAATATCGTTAACTTCCCATTGCCACTCCACACGCAATCAAAATCCACTTAGTGCGAGCCGCTAGCACCACCAAAATGTAGTTCCAACTGGAATATGGGTGATGGGCGATGGTCCGTTTTCTAAAACAAATATTTGCACCCGGCAACTTGACCCGCTACTAAGCAGATGCTATCGGGCTCGTCCATATGTCTGGATACGTTAACTTCCTTGTCTGAGAAATGCAAATTCAGATATGTCAGATATCGGGGGGAATATTCAAAATTTCTTACTACGATTGATAGATCAAGTTAACTGCTACTCGATCCCGTTTTGGGGCCTATCTCAACTGTCACTAACTTTTCCTAACTATCTCCCCCTCTCTCTCTCTCTCTCTCTCTCGTCTGATTCTTTCCCTTTAATTCTCTCTCACTCTGTCACAATTTTAGGCAATTCCTTTTGCAAATCTTCTTTTCTTCCAGCTTTTATCATTTTTCCTCTCTCTCTCTCTCTCTCTCTCTCTCTGTTTACTCTCTTTTTCGCTTCTTATAGCTCTATCCTTAACCAAATTACAAATGCGCAACTCTTAAAAGTCTTTTTTATTATCATCACTACGTCTCACTCCTTTTATCTCCCAGTCTGCCTGCCTCTCTCGCTCTCTCACATTCTCTCCCTCTCTCCCTCTCTCTCTCTCTCTCTCTTTCTTAAGTACTTCTACATCTGATATTCCCTTCATATTTCTCTACCTCTAATCATTATTTTTCCTTTCTCTCCCTCTCTTTCTTCCCGTCATCTGTAAATATATATTTCGGGACAATCTCGAATACATTATTTGCCCCCTATCATCTCAATTTATGAATAACTGTCATTCTAACAAGTTTCTTAGTCTTCCCACCTGCAACTACTCGATTATTTCTTTTTTTTCTCCCTCACTCGTTCTTCCGCTGTTTAACTCTTGCTCCCTTGCCACAACGTTCGAGTCTGTCATCAATCCATAAATCCAGCTAACTATTTGCGATAGCTTGGGCCGCTTTAGACGCATGCATAATTAATCGATTCGCCGTTCCAGTTATCGATTGTTATGGTATTTATCAACACTAGATTGACATTATTAAATATGCGGCCGTATTAAATATTGCACCATAACAAAACGATGGCCAAACAACGAGAAAGAAAAAAAAGCATAAACAAAAACAAAAAATATATAAAGTATATATACACAACAATTTTCAGATTAATAATGCATTAACTTTACTTTAGCAGCCTACTTCTGCTATACCCTGCAAATTGTTTCGACCCACAAATAGGTCTTGATCTCGTCAAATGCACAGCTGGAGATTTTCAATTCTAAATGCCATGTGCCGAACGAATGCATTCTCCTGTCTCCTCAATATCAGCTCGTATTGACATAATATAATCGATAAATATCGATTTGGAGGCAAAGTTTTTCGGATTAACTCCAAAATTATTACAGCTAGATACACCAAACTTTGGCATAACGATTCTTGTTTGAATTGAAAAAAAAGAATTAATTTTTTGGGCTCTGAAATTGTATTAAGAATCGAGCCAAATTACTCTAGAGCTCTATGCATGCATAGTTTTTGGGCAAGGGGAGGAAGAGGGGCGCAAGATGCAGGAAGCTAGCTAGCTGTCTTCAGGGTATCTCCTAGTCGGGCACAACTTTTATTTAGAAGCTTGCGGAGTGAAAGTTTAGCGGCTCTCGCTCGTGTGTGTACTTGTGTGTGGGTGTGTGTGTGTGTGTAGAAAGCTTTGTGTCATCCAGTGACAATTTACGGCCGCTTCTAGCCACATTCCATGCGCCATGCGCCATGTGCCAAGTCGCATGTCCTCGTCAGCTCAGCTCAGCTCGGCAGGACTTGGACTTGGACTTGGACTGGGACTGGGATTGGGATCGGTATTGGTTTGGGTTGCTCTCTGGGTTTGTTTTCGGTTGCGTTCCGTTGATTCATTTATTTATTTAGTTTTCTTGGCATCATCAATTATTCAGCGCTGCGTCTGTGTGCGGTGCGGTGCGGTGCGTTGTCTCTTTATTGCAAGACAATCGAAATGGCGGAGACAGCCGGGCCGAGCCGAGCCGGCCCGAAGAAGGAGAACGGCAAGGATGTGGACATGTAATACCAGTCCGATGACATGGACACCATCTAAATGGGACTTGCTGCCAGCGATGCGAGCGTGGGTGCGACAGGCCAGAGGCCGTGGCTAAATAAATACCCATTGTGTGCGGCATCGGGTCGCGAAGGTGGTCATCACTCATACGCCAGGTTGGCCAGCATTTGACAAATAGTTGCGCAATTCCATGACGCGAAACGGCATCAGATTGCAATTTCGCCTCATTTATTTTTCAAATGCATGCCGTGTGCATTTAAACCTAATTTGATTTTACAACCCAGCCCCAGGACCAGGCCCAAAGTCGATTTGAGCTCATGCAACATTAAGTGCGCGTTTAAGTCCTGATTGCACAAATTGCAGCTTACAATACTTTTGCACTTTTCTACTTTTGTACTTTTGTACTTTTCTACTTAAAACTGTAAACCATTTGAAATTGGAATTCAATTTCCCTCTTTGCTTTTGAACAAGATTTGCGTTTTGGCTAAGTGCAGTTAGCTGTTAGCCAAATGTTTTGGCTGTTGTTGGCAATTGCATTGCCTCGAATTGTGCTGCAAATTTGAGTACAGCCACGTGGACATCTAATTAACACAGAAACTCAATAAATGTACACTGTATCTGCCTCAAGCCGCCGCTTGGCACACTGAGCGAAGGGATCGAACTGCCGTGAATCTTTATCCTTATTTGCTTGCTTTTCAATTCAATTAAGAAAATGTGTGTGTGTGTATGTGTGTGTTTCCTGATCCTGATTTGTAAACAGAAGTTGATGCAGTACAGCATGTGGCACGGAAAATTAATATGGCGACTTTAGAAGGAGAATCAATTACCTCAGCCTTTCACTTTTTGGCAGAAGTAGAACGAAGAGTCCCAGATCAGACCCTCTAGCTATTCAAATCAACCAGCTCTCAATATAATTGGCATACAAATTCGATACCTATCGATCAAATCTACGAACTCTTAAGGTAATCGGAGCAGAATTTCGATACTTATCGATAAAGTCAACGAGATCTTAAAGTAATCGGAGCAGAATTTCGATACTTATCGATAAAATTAACGAGTTCTCAGAATAATCGGAGTAGAAGTTCGATACCTATCGTTTAAATCTACGAGATCTTAAAGTGATCGGTGCAGAATTTCGATACTTATCGATAAAATCAACGAGCTCTTAAGGTAATCAGAGTAGAAAATAGATACCTATCGATAAAATCAACAAGCTCTTAAGGTAATCGGAGTAGAAAAAAGATACTTATCGATCAAATCAACGAGCTCTTAAAGTAATCGGAGTAGTAATTCGATACTTATCGATTTCGTAGCAATAGAAAAAACGTTTAAAAATTGGATACAGAGTCGAGCTGCTAAAAGTGAAACTCCATTTAAGTATCTCGACTTAAAGCTAGATCAACTCGGCTGTGGGTAAATGTAAATTTGCAGGCCCTCATGATAACCTAGGTTCCACCTGGGCCCAAAGTAAGCCACGCTCGTAGCTAAGTCATAATATTTACAGATGCTCCAAACGATTTTCCTTGGGCAAAGTCTTATTGGGAATCATAAGAAGAACTTGAGTATTTGAATATGTTGTTGGACTAAGCTAAAAATCCTATCTTCGTATTAGATCTAATAGAGGCTAATGTTGTGTTGACTTTTGAATTTTGACTTAAGCTCATTGCCCAGACTGCCTCCCTCCCACCCCGCTCCCCCCCTTACCCCTTTTAACTGGGGTCAGGCACAAGCTGCAGAGTGGGGAATGGTTGGAGGTTGAGGGGTTGGGGCCAACTGCCAACTGGCAGCCCTTTCTCGTTGCTTTTTTGTTTTTTTTTGGCTGGCGATGACAGTTAACAGGTTAACCTGCTTAAAATGCACATCAACGCATCAGTTGACCCACAGTGAACCCTCCGCACAAGTGCCTGGAAAAACCGAGCATATGTAAAACTTAATGCAAAAACCAGCGCAACGGCTGCGAGGGGGATTGGGATTGGGAATGGGAATGGGAATGGGAATGGTCGGTGGGGGAGGGAGGGGGAACAGCTCGAGATAAAACTGGCAACAACTTTGCAATTATCAGTTACAAATGCCCAACTAAAAAAAAAAAGGCGGGTAGCAAACACCATTAGACATTAGACATGCCCAAATGGCAGGGGTTGGTCGGCGAGGGCAAGGAGGGAGGGGTGTGGGGGGGGGGGGGAGGGGGTGTCTTTTGTGTTCATTTTGAAATATGTTTGCCAGCATATGCAATAAGGTTGTTATTTACTTTACAGCGAAGTGAGCATCAAATTGATCGTATTAATGGCCATAACTAGTTTATCCCGCCCATCTTATCAATTCGTGGGGATTATACGCAGATTTCCATTACCAACAAAACCGAAGGGTGGCTAATGCTGCAATGACTCTTGCTCTCCCTCCCCCCCCCCCCTCTCTCCCTCTCTCTACCTCTCTCTTTGTCTGTCTCTGTAGCATTAATGCAATTTCAATGGTCAATGCGAAAAACATACATTTTCGATTTGGCATTGTTGCTTGTTGTTGTTGCTTGTTGTTGTTGTTGTTGCTTGTTGCTTGTTTTTTAGCCGCATCGAAAGGGGCTCTCCGCTGGGCGCCCGAGCAGGGACTTGAGCCGGCCTGGGCACAAGTCGGGCAACTCCCACAGGAATTGCCAGGCAATATAACTGAAAGCAAAAATGAAGATAACAGTCAGCGCGGCAAGTGCAAATCCACCCGTCCATTTAACAAGTTGTGCACAACCCCGCCCACGCTTCCAGCCACCTGACGAGCCCATTCGCATCCCCATCCAACATTCGCATTCGCATCCGTATTCGCATCCGTATTCGCATCCGTATTCGCATCCGTACTCGCATCCTCCGTATGCGCAACGCGTACCTTTTGCTAACCAACTAACTGCCTTTTTGCTTGGCGCGTCTGTGGGCGTTTGAATGGGTGGTTCGGTGGTTCGGTGGTTGGCTCTGGGCTCTGGGCTGTGGGCTATGAGCCGCCTGTTACGCCTCTGTTTGATGCTTGTAAAGACCACTTTACCCGCTATAATAAAAATAAATCATAATATTTTGCACCCCTCGTCGCGTGCGGCTCAGTTCGTTGGGCTGGCACACAACCTGTGCGAACCCTCGCACACTGGAACCAAATCTGATTTCAAATGCAAAGCACAAATAAAACGAACATTTGACATAAATGGCTTCAAGTATCGTACAGTATGAGCTCTATTTAGAGTGCTATAAATACAATCGTTTATTGACGCACACTCGCTCGCATTCAATAAGTAACGAGTGCATTCCAAACGGACGAGTCGAACAAATGGACGCGAAAATAAACGCAAAACTCTTTCAATCATTTATTACAGTCTGAACTGTATTAAGAGTCTTGCAAACACA